CCCCCATCCCTGCGCAAAAACTGACTTGAGGACAAACTACTGTGCTGCTTCCACTCGTGGCAGCTCTGAGCACGGAGCCCCGTCCTGCCGCAGGGACAGGCCCAACCAGCTGGACCCGAGCGGGCTCAGTTATTTAAACTGAGTTTTATATATATATATATATATATATATATATATATAATAATTATTAAAAAACCAAATTCATTCCCCAGTCTGGCACCCCTAAAACCAGCTGCGTCGGTGCAACCAGAAGGGGTTGGGACAGGGATTTGGGGTTTTTTTGGGACGCTCATTTCCCCTTGGCTGCTTACCTACATGAAAAATGTCATTATACTCACCTTCACCTTTTTTTTTTAACCCTATAAAATATTAATCAATGACCTCATTCAGCCAGGAGCCACTGTAACCCGTCTGGGATAGGCAGCAGTAGGATCCTGCTTGTTTCCAAGCGCAGCAACTTCAGCAGAAACAGGTAGTTCATCACTGTCAGAACCTGGTTTTATTCTGTTTTAACCTCGGCCTTTGTCCTGCAGTTAAAAAGTCCTCGTTGCTGTTAAAATGTACAGGTTATTTGTACACAGTTGGCATTTTTTTTTCTGGTTTGTGACAATTTTTTCACAAGCAGGATTTACTCTGTTCCAAATAACAGAAGCCACAACATGACAGACGCCTGCATGTCATTTTACCCACACATTTTACACATGCAAGTCAACAGTCCCTCAGTAACTTCCATCGCTTTTTAAAACATTCAGATGAAGCCACGTTGGTTCAGCTGAGACCCCAAATGTCTTTTACCACCCCGGTGCTCCGCTGGCGAGCTGAGGAGAACACGAAAGCACAACGATTTAAAGCATTATTGGGTGGGGGAAAAAAAAAGTGTAGCAACATCTAGATTTGTTTTAAACAAGTTTGACAGTAAACACCAAGGAAACCAGGCATACACAAACCCCCTCTGTAACCAGCAGGAGGTTTTCCTGTTTGCATAGTGAAGAGCTAATTCTAGAGCTGCTGCTTTGTGGTGTTTTACAGACACGGGGAAGAGAAAGGTTTGTGTCCGATGCCTGGGGGGGGCATCACCGCTTCCAAAACTGTGGGTCAAACCGGCGTCATGTCCCAGTTCCACCCAGTTGCCATCCACGGGGATGTCCCACGGGACCTTTGCATCCAACAAACGCTTCCCCCCACCCCATCCCCCCCCCGCACATGGGACAAGCTCCTTGTCAACCTTTGGCCGGACAACTGGGAGATGATGGCGCGGGGCTGTTGGCGGGTCGAGGCGGAGCCCCGGGGTCTGTCCTCAGAGCGTTTCTAAAGGCTTGTTTTTAAAATCAGTGATAGTCTTTAAGGCTTCAACCTCCCCCTTTGCTTTCGTTGAGAAAATACAAAGAAGCGCTTGTTCAAGCGACACTTCATGACTACTGTGCACTGCATGTACAATAGCATTTGAAGAAAAATACTGACAATATAGAACAACATTATACAATCATCTGGCACGATCCCTTCTTTTGGCACTTTTCCTTCATTTATCTGATCTCACTGACTCCAAACACGGACCTTTCCGTACGGCTTTGCCCGGGGAGAGAGCTCCGGAGGGTCAGAATGCAACTTTCTGGAGTCGGTTGCATCTTTGGCAGACACGGTCCTTCTGTCATCAAACCAACCCCAGCCCCTCCAGCGCTACCAGCAGTGCAATCTCTTGACCTGTTGGGTTGTTTGTTTTTTTTTTTCTTACAAGAGAAGACAGCTTCACATTTTGGGAGGACGCCCGCACTGTCCCGCAGCCGGCAAGGACCGCCTTCATCCTGGGGAGAAGGTGACTGCAGAAAAGAGGAGGGTTAAAAATGACTTCCATGTAAGTGTAAATAAATACTTGGTTTTATCTTAGGGCCGCTGCAGATCTTGTGTTGCATTCACCGTTCAGCAAGAGGTATTTTACTTCTCAGCTGGCATCACTTGTGGCAAAGGTAGCGTCATACCTGACCTTTAAAGGGTAGAGGCTGGGAATTCCTGCTCTTTTAAGTGTAATTATATACAATTATTTCTTTTTGTGCAAGCTTACACAAACTTACAGAGTGTTAAATTAATAAAACATTCATCCTAGCTTCACGTTGCCTCAAGTCTCAAACCCGACACGGCCTCGGGTGGATTTCAGCTAGCTCAGGGAGAAGGCGAGAGGCTGTAAAACAGCCCACGTTCTCCTCAGTCCTTGAGCAACTAAACGGAGAAATGAATGGAGAGACTCAGCCAGCAGCTTCATCGGACTGAAAACCTGTGGGTGTGCAGCCTTGTGAGGAACGATGGATCCCAGCCTGATGCTTCAGCGAATGCTGCGAGCGCAGCCCTTCCATGACACGACTGCGATGCCACGTCCAAGGGTCTCCTGCAAGGCAGATGCAACGGCCTGGGTGTCTCTTTTGGGGGGAGCTGGCTGCCTGGTGAAGGCGAGGTTTGGGAAGCTGGGGGTGCGAGGGATCCCCTTAAGCTTTTTTTTTTCTTTTTTTGGCTGGGGATAAACTCCAGCTCAGGCGTTGCCTCCCGCACTTCCACCCAGCTTGTATTTAGAGAGTGGAAATTAACACACAAAAAACTAAATATTTATGTAATCTTTTAAAAAGAAGATATTATTTAAGACACTGGCCTGGTGCGTTGGACTGCAAAATCTATTTTAAGAGGGGAAAGAAAGGATACATTCAGCATGTAGTTTTTTGTGGTGTCGATTTTGCTCAGAGAGCGCCCAGCAGCCCAAGCCTGGATGAAACCCCCACGAGCATCACGATAAAGAAAGAAACTGTTAAGGGAAGTCTGATTTGGGCTCAAGGGATTAACCATGGGGAAGAGGCAGGGAGAAGGGGGCCTGTAAAGTAATTTTTAAATCTTTTAAAACTAATTGTAAAAAAAAAAATAATTGTCAAATCCACTTGAAAAGTGCACGCTTTAGCTCAAAATATTGGGAAAGAATGGCATGAATAATGAGAAAAAGCTGTGGGTTTCTCTCCTGAGCTTATTTCACTGCAAAGGGCAGATCTAGGCCACTGCTCCTCCCCTCGGTTCTGCTCTTCTAGGTCCGGTCAAGGCTCTCTAATTACTGAATTTCCTTCCAGTTCACAGCTGGGTACAGGAGCAGGATTCGGTTTGGGGTCAAAAGCGCCTGCTTCAATCAGCACCTAACGAGGCTGTGGCACATGAGAGGGCACGGAAAGCCACGGCCCATGAGCCGCAGCAGGCAGGCGGAGCAGGCCAGGTCTAGCCAGCCCTAGGTACGACTTTAAACATCCAGTAGTTTGTGTGTTAAGGAGATACAGAGATAGATAGATATATATTACGGAATCATCGCTATAAGATTTCTCAAAACGAAAGTGTCAATCTGTTGAAATATAGTATTTAAAATATATAAATTTTATCCATTAAAATATAAGATTTCTTTTTTTTTAAAAAAAAAATCCAGTTCAATTAGGAAAAAAGTGCCAGGGTCCTTGCAGTTACGCAAGTATGCCGGGAGAGAAAAAGAAAACCAGTTCCCATTTTTTTTTTTTAACCATTTAAGATGGAGGGAAAAATTCAACCGTTTTTTTAGACAGAGGAAGTTGGGCAACGACTTGTTCTCTTCGATCAGCTCCATCTGTTTTGAGTGCAGTGGCTTTCCTCCCTTTGTGCCGCGGGTCACGGCAGGTTTGCCCCAGCACTGCCTGAAAATACCACTCGTCATCTGGCACCCGGGGCAGTGAGATCCTTAACGCCGCAGCCTCTGCCCCGGACAAAGGTCCCTGCGGGCACCGAGGGTCCCCAGTGAATACTCTGCAAGGCAGCTTTCCAGTATCAAGTTGAACTGATGTTTTTTGAGCCTGATTATTGGAAATAATCAAGGAAATTAGTGCGCTCTTAATGGCTGATGGGGAAGAGCGTTAGAAACATGAAGAGCCCAGAGGGTGGGCTGCCACTACAGGCCACACCTGCGCGGACAACATGGCAAAGCCCAGGTTCTGAGCTAGCTCTGCTCCAGGCTGCCGTGCCTGACTTCATGCTTTTAAGCAGAAATTTTTAGTGCGTCGCTCACCGGAGCTCGCTCAGTGGTTTGAACCTGAAGACAGGTAGCTCAGAGCAGGCCTGCGTCGCCCCGTCCCAGCTCTCCTGCCAACCCACCGGGCGCCCGCGATGCGTCAGGTACCTCGGGATGCCTCCTCGGGCCGCTCTGGGACGTGTAAGGACACGTCTTAGGTGTGCTGAGAGATCTCTTAACTGAGCAGGGTACGTGTCAGCAGGGAGAATGTCCTTCCTGAAATCTCCTGGGCAGTGTTTCCCTTTCTAGATTTCAACATTCGTGGGAAGAAGGTGAAGCCCTCTTGCCTCGGAAGAGGCAGGGACCGGGAGAAAAGCTGCATTTTCTCCCTGTGACACAGCACCAGCTGCTCCCCCCGAGCTCTCTGCTCTATCACTAACATGACTATACAAGTTCCTACAAGGCTTTTCAGTAAAACCCTTATGTCTTTCTTCACTGCGTTTGCCTTTCTGCTTCATGAAAGTAACCTATGATCCGCACTGCTGGGGCAGACAGTGAGATACATTCATCTGTAAATACTACGCGTGGATCTCTTTGGTACTTCCTAGCAGAAATACGGACCAGGCTCCCTCCCCAACAGCCCTCAGGTCATTTGAACACTGACATCGGTAACAATCTGCCCATCACAGCCCGCTGCAGCTTAAGGGAGAAAACGGGGCAGGCAGAGGGAGAAGGCTGTTTCTAGGACAGAAAAAAACTCCTTTCCTCTCTGTGAGTAGAGCTCTGACTTCTCCTGGCATACTGAAGCGACAAGGCAAGGAACAGATGGGGTCCTCATCCCGTACCCCACGTGCTGCTCACACAACCCTCCTAGCTGGGGACCTCAAATGTCACCGGCTGCATGTAGAGGTGTTGCAGTGTATTCACAGGGATGACGGGCATTGCTTTCAGACCAATGGACCAGAAAGGCTGGAGGATTTTTTTCTCATTCTCTTTTTTTTTTTTTTTTTTTTTTAATCTGAAAGGACTCTGGCTTCTCTCTGAACTGGACCTACAAATGTCTTACCACCAAAATGAAAAAACAATTGTTGTGGGTGGAAGTATGACAAAAAATAGTTTTCCTTTAAGATAATCTGATAAACCTCATCGTCCTCTAGAAAGGCAACATCGTCCACCAGTGCTACTTAGCACCCAGAGTGCTCTTCGACCGCAGCAGATACCGATCGACTCTGACTTTCCGCCTATCCACTGTCCTATTCTCGCTGTCGAAAATCCTCTGCAGATGCAGGGCCAACCTCCTGTCCTCCTCCTCTTGCTGGAGCTTCTGCTCCATCTCCCGTACCAGGCGATCCTCCGGAGGCAGGCCCACCTCCCCCGCCGCGTGCCTCAGTCTTTTGACGGAGCCGTTGTGCTCCAAGTGCTTCGTTTTGCAGCGTCTCTTCCGGCCCCGTCTCAGCGACGGGGGCTGTTCCCCGATGAGGTTCTCAACGGAATTGCAGGTGCTGTTCTGCACGTTGATCAATTCGCTGTTGTTCAGGTATTTCAGCTGCTTTTTTCCTGATGTTTTGACGGGGACCCCAAGGGTGCTGTTGTCAGGCAGCGATGCGCTGACGCCCATGAGTCTTCTGCTCAGCATTTTTGGGCCGAGACTAAGACAGGATTTGTCCATGAACGTGTTCACTTTTAGGTCAGGGACTTCGGCCACTCGTGTGTTTAGGGAGGTGACGTTTGATCTCGCATCTGGTTCGGCAACGCTGTCGTCTGTTGTTAAGGCTTGTGAATCCCTGCTCTTCTCACTCCCTCTTCCCAGCTTTGTTTCACTGATGGAAGGAAAAAAATCCAGCTCGGGGCGAGGGTCTCCTGTTGTGTCAGGTGGAAGATGATCATCCTGCACTTGTGGCTGCTCTTTAGGGCAAGCGCTGGAGTTGGTGATGTCAGGAACTATTACATCTTCCCCGGGCTCCGCAGCCAAGGATGTAAGGGTCGCTTTAGAGAGAGTCTTTTTGATCTGGCGCTCCTGAAATATCTGCTCCCATTTTTTCAGTATTCTAGGACTGGCCTCGTAGGTGGTTGGCTTCTGCAGGCTCCGGTTCAGGTTTCTCGGGGTGGACTTGATAATGAGAGGGCTCAGGACTCTGCCGTCAGGAAGCCTCTTCGGAGGAGTACATGGGGAGCAGACGATAGGCTTGAAGTGGTTGAGCTCTTCCGAGATGCTGTCATTGCTCTCGGGGCTGATGGATCGCTCTGGCTTGTGCAGGGCCGAGAGGGACGAAACGGGGTTGAGAACCAGGCGCTTCTCTGCCGTCAGGTCCGGGGCGGAGAGGCAGCGGTTGTTTTGGGTGGACGACAAAACTCCAACCAGCGGCGTTGATGTGCTGGTGACAGGCTGCACCTGCAAGGCAAGGCACCACAGCTCAAAAAGTTTGTCAGCGAGAAGAATATGGGCAAGCACGCGAGAGGAGAAGAGGAGAAGATGAGGCTGCCACGCTCAGGCCCTGCAGCCGACGGGCTGGAGAGCTCCCTGGAACAGCCGTGGCAGCCTCGGCTGCTCACAGCACCTTTCATGGCCGATATATAATGTAAGCAGAGAACACTAGAGTTTTATTTCAGATTTATTTCAGTGTAAGAGCTGTTCTTGTCACAAATGGCAACCACTCCCATGGCAAAACACTTGAAGCAAGGCAAGACAAGAAGCCAAGAAGCACTGCACCGCCCTGGCTGAAGGAAGCCACGCTCTTCAAGGGAAATAAACGATCTCCAAAGGGTTTTTAGCTCCCTACCAAGCTGTAGGAGAGAATAAATACTCGGCCCGGGTTTTAACCCACTGCGCTGCAAAATGTCACGAGAAAAGGTGTGTATGTGCCCGAGGTGGAACAACCTCAGGGAGTGGTCCCAGAGCACACCACAGCCACTGCTGGAGGCCTCCCGCAGAGCTAATGAGCCACGTTTCTTGCCACCTGCAAGACCATCCCCTAATGCTGCTGCATTTGGAACACAACTGAATCCAGCCACGAATAAATCCGAAATAAATGCTGCACATACACAACTGCAAATGGTATTATTCTTAGCTCTAAGATTTAAATTATTTTATCCAGCAGTTAGTTTGAGACAGTGATAGCCTTTCCTTGCTTAGGCCGGAAGAGAGTTGTTGCTACTAGTTTATTTTGAGGTGAAAATGAGTTTGTGGAACACCCTTGTAGTGCAGCTCTTAATTGGTCAGGTCCATAAGCCATCGACTTAAAAAACCCAAAAAGTCCTGGGAAGGAAAGTCAGTCATAGAGCCTTGCTCTGAGCTCAGCCTAGGTGGGAGCTGGGCCACGCTCATGACCTCACAGATGGTGATCACCGGGGTCAACTTTGTGTGCCCAGTGGGGATTTTACCATTTCCCAAGCAATATGCACTAACCAAACTGTCCTTCCAAAGGACTGCAGAGGCTTTTATTCCTTATGGGATCTCTGGAACTGAACCCTCTCTTTTCCATCTGGGATGAAACTGGGCCCAGGAAGAAGGGGTGTCAGCACGAGGCAGTGGAACATACTAGCAAGCAGCCCCGGTGGAGCAGTGCTGGAGCTGTTTTCTGCACTGAGAACTCACAGCTCTCATGATTTCACCTGCTGTTCCAGCCACCAGGATCCCCCAGGCCAGAGAGGCGCATGGAAAGGAGGCAGAGCACGGTCCCAGAGACAGAAATTAGTCTGGGAGCGAGTGGGCAAAGCTGCTCCTGCTGGCAGGGCCAGACAGAGGGGTCAGCAGTGCTGCCAGGCTGTCGCAAAGGTCAGCTCCAGGGAGTGGGAGGTTCCCAGCTGGAAGAGCCTCAAAACCCCCCACTGGCTCAGATTTTCAGTGGTGCTTTGTGGTCACCCCTCATCCTTGGACTGAAAAGTCAGGCCTGCTGCACAGATACAGTTAATTCATCTGGGCTGCTGGATGTGAAGGGAAGGAAAAGTGGGCCAGCTCTTCCCATAGCCTGGAAGTGCAAAAGGAAGTGTCCTAGCAGGAGAGCAATGAGCTTTGCTCTTTCAACAGCTCTGGAAAGAACAGGAGAGAAAGGGGGAGGAAGAGAGGGTTTTCTTTCTAAACTTCTAAAAGATTTTTCTTTCGTTGGCTGGGGATTCAGCCTCGAAAAGAAAATTAATTACAAAACAAAGGCATGGTAAGTGCCCTTCCGACTTCCAATTATCCTCCAACGCTAACAAACAACTCTGCAAGCTGTCTACTTTTCTGCTTAGTAATTTCTAACCTAGCAGGTTTTTATTGTGAGCTGCAAGGAAGTGATTGGCCCCATGGCGATAATGCAGCAGCAGCAGCACCACAAACACAGTGCTTTATATCTCCAGATTACCAGGGCTGTGTAACCTCAGATAAGAATATTCACACACAGAAACCCGACGTTTCCGGATGCAGCTGGTACCTTTGTTTTGTTGGCTGGGGCTGATCTCTGCCTGCTCTTTGATCTCTCCTGAATGGTGTCGTTGCAGCTCCGGCTCCTTTCCACCTTGGCGGTTAAGTTCCTGAAAAGCAGATGGGTGAAACCAGGAGACTGTTCACGACCTTAGGAACAACTGGCCCAGCAGCCCTGACAGCAGTTACCCGTGGGGGAGGCAGCAGCCTTGGCAGCACCTGGCTGGAAGAGATGCCTCCTACGCCCTCGGGGTAAAGGGATCTAGGAATTTTGGATCTGCTGCAGAGTCCTGGTCTGTGTTCAAGGGCTAAACACACTGACACCTCCACCTACGGCTTATAATTGATTGAGGTCAGAGCTAATGACGACACTAGGGAAACCTCTGTGCTTCTCACGTGAAGACACACTTAAGTTACTCAGCCACTTCCACTGCACCGTGCAAGAGCTTTCACTGATAAGCTGTTTGGGGCTGATGTTATCTTTTAAGTCTCTGTGCTAGAGAAGGATCCAGAACTCTTAAGAGTTCATCACACAGAATTCTGTACTTTAATGGTTTCTGTCATTTAAATCCACAGGCAATGACTTTTCTCTGCCTCACGGGATCAACACTAACTTTGTTAACCCCCAGGACTTGATAACAGGTAGGAGGTAATCAGCCAGACACTATATTCTACCAATTCACCTGTTCTAAAATTCCAGAAAAATTATTACTTCTTTTGGATTGGAACAACCATTTAAATGAAATTTAAAGCATCTCAGACAGGTTTTGAACAAGTCAAAAGAACATGAGATTTACATCTCTAATGAACACTAACCAGCTTGAATCAAGTCTCAGCATCTTACCCTGAAAGGAAAGCAAAGGAGTAGGCACTGGTCTTGGAAACAAAAGCTGACCGATGCGTTTGCTTGCCCTGGAATGGTTCTTCATTCTCTGAATCCGAAAGACGCTCAGGAAACTGAAGTCAATCAAGGAAGAGTTAGCTGACACGTACAATAAAAAGAATCACTTGGAAAATAAATCTCTTTTCGTGCAAAGATATGAAAGTTTCCAAAAGCCCCCGTCCTGATTACACCTAGAAGACATAAACCGAGAGCGGAACCTGCCGGCAGGCACAGGTGCTCCCGCAGCACTCTCCACTGGAGCTGTAACAGCTCAGAGGCTGGCCCCAAAAGCATAAATAATGCACAAACATTTCTCTGTAGAGCTGCCAGTGATTGAAGAAAGTTAATTTATCAATCAAGGAACCATGAGAAAATCCTACAAGGAAGGTATTACAGGACGTTATTCAGTACCCATGTATCAGCCCAGCAGTCTTTAAAACTTAAGAACATTTCCTGCAGATTCTCACAACTGAAATGAGAAATAGGCCGAGCTCAGCATGAAGAATCTGTTGGATTACGGCTACACTGGGGAAGATTCATGGAGAAATGTTCATGGAAATGCTCATATGCCTGAAGACCAAGGATACACAAAGCAGAGCAGAAGCCTCTATGGATTTAACTCATACTTTTTGGAAGGGCTGCACCTCCACTCATGAGTAAAGTGGGTAAAAGGCGGGGACAGAAACCTCTAGAAGAACATCTGTAGTCATAACAAATTGGAGGAGACGGTTCTTATTAACATGGATCTTTATAATCTGTTAGCTCATGGCTTCTCAAGGGCTACAACAAAGTCAGTCAACAAATTCTGGAAAGCTCCTTGTGTCAAAGGATGAAAACTCCCAGATTCAACAGCCAGGAACAGGAGACAATCAGCTAGCCAAGGTCTTAAAAAAATAGTTCTTGTTCTAGGACTGAGTCTTAGCAGCATTTCACCTACCAGTCAGTGTCTATAATGTGGCCAGGAAAGAGAAGCACAAGCTTACTTACACACTCCTGGTTCGCTTTAAGTGCTAAAGATTCCTCTTTTTTCTGTTCTTCCATTTTCCTTTTTCCTACATCCATGTCATCTAGAATGAACTTGTGAATCAGATCCTCGGGAGCTTTTTCTTCTTGCACTTTTTCTTCTCTCAGCTGGAAATAATGACAGAAGAGACAGTGTATTTACAATGGTTTAAATCCTACACCTGGTTGCCAACATGTGATTTTCTAAAAGTCTGGCCACATAATTTAATTTTGTGTCTTCATTTCTTTACTCTAGAGTAGAGACTCTCTCTCACAATAACGTGAAGATCAGTTTGTTCCTACAGTGCTTTTTATGTTCATGCACTGTACACAAGTATCATGGATATTATCTTCTTTGTAGCAAAGGCACTTTTAAGTCCAGGGTTTGACAAAGACTTCTCTGCCACACCACTTTCTAAGATAGAGAGACAAAAGCTTTTGTCTACTTGTAGATAATCACACTACAAATAAAAATGTGCACAACAGTAGTTTCATGCAAGCCGTAACTTTTCCATTTTAGTCTTCAAACGTCCTGCAACACAATCCACACCATTTGGCAGATATATGGACGGCATCACCTAAATTAAAATTGGTTAGATACAGCAATTCCCACGTTGGATGAAAAATTCCCACGCTGGATGAAATCCCATTGTTTCACTGACGCGCGGGGATGGGGAAGACACAGAGAGATTAGCTAATGCTCCCATGGCCAAGCCGAGGCCCAAAGCTTGACTTCAGTTTATCAGCTGAAGTGAAAATGAAGACGACAAGGTCAAGTAAATGCCAGGATCCAGGACACAAGGTACGTGGGCCCAGGGGATCCTGCCTGCTGCACATCAAACAGGCGCTGCCTGTGCATCACGCCGGACTTGCTTTTACCTCCTGGCTTCCTACTCTGCCCCGTGTTAACCTCGGACTGAAACCCCCTGGCTTTTTTGATACATTCCTGCAATTTAAGAAGTCTGACCCAAAGGAGGGATCGAGCACTTCCAGCCTTTTTTTGCTATCACTTCCTAGAGGAATACTTCCCCTACATTTCCTTTTGCTTTTTCTCTAATACATTCTTAGCTGTCTTCTTGCTACTTTTTACCACCCTGGCAAATCGAAATGGTCACAACGCAACATTATTTTATCCGCACGTGCTGTGCTGCTGCATTTCACAGACCTGAAGGCTGCACACGAAATGCTGGGCAGCCCCAGCTGTGTTCTGCTGCACTTCCCATCCTTTTTCTGCACTGGAGGCTTTTTTGCCGTGCCTTCCATGAAGTACCAGCCCCTATATAGTCCTTTATCTCCCCTACCCATTCTTGAGCTTGTGGCAGTCCAGTAGTGAGACAGAAGTGCAAACACTTTCCTTCCTTCCCTCTGAAAAGCACAATCCATCACTTTGTGATCCCTTTTAACCAACCAAGGTTGACTTTTGTGTCTGCAAGCTCCTCGTAGCCAGGCTCTCCCTGCAGAGATTTCTTTCTTCCTGCACCAAAAGATTATTCCCAGCACGATCCATGGCTCGGATGGGCTGCCTGTCCTGCTGCATTATTTTGCTCCCCCTTAACTAAGGAATCAAATTCCCTACTTCTGCCAGGACCTCTTTTCTGCCAACTTGCTACTCAAACCCACCACATCCCCCCGCCCTTTCCTCCTCCTTTCTGCCATCTTCTCCCAATGAACAGGCTCTGCAGTACATACTTCAAATAACACCACCCGATTGTCCCTGCCCAGGATAACATCACTCAGCTCCTGTCTCACCCAGCTTGTCTCTCACCTCTTCCTCAACTTCAGGCTGACACATAGGCCGTGAAAAGTCTACATCTCTATGTATTTATGCCAGGTTCTTCCTTCTTCCTGCACTCAACCTCTGCGCATCCTCGTCTGGGACAACAAGCCTGCCTTCTGACTGACACATGTCCATCACTCTGACGAGCTATAGCTATGGCTAAGCACTAGGAATTCAAATACTTCTGTTTAACCTCCCGTTGGGAGTGTAGGCATCTCAGATGTTAAAGAAGCTGCCCTGTTAGGTTCTGTCCTATCATCTCACAATGCCACCACTTCCCCCTCACCCCCCAGAACCGCAGGTTCTGGTGCCCTCCAGTAAAGCTCAAGGCATCCACAGGCAGCTCGAGCACTGATCCTACAGCACTGCACACAAAGGCAGTGGGCAACGTTGCAACAACTCCTCATTCTTCCAAAAATACTCAGTATTCTTCTTCCCTGCAGAAGGGGGTGCTAAAAAAAAAAAACAACCATGGACACGTGGATGATAAGAAAACAGAGTTCAGGATGCATTACACAAACAGCACATCATGGTTTTCAGACTGGGAAGGACCCGAATCCTACTGAATCCAAACTCCCAGAGACAAGGAAGGGAGAGGTAGGAGGAGAGAAGGTAGAAACCAGGGAAAAACCCACTGTTTGCCTGATTGTGGGTGTTTAGCAAATGTTTTCCAAGACTGGTTTGACTTCTTGTTTAGAGTGTTTTAGGATGTATCTTTAAATTCTTGATCTATTAATAATCTCAAGCAATAACTACAACCCTGTGTCTGACTAATATAAATTATGGCCACATGATGCAGACGTGATGCACAGTCTGCTGTAAATTTCATGAACAATATTTCTGTACTTTAAGTAGACTTTAAGTATCTAAAAAACAATTTCACATCAAGGTTTATCACAAAGATTACTTTTTTTAGCCAGCTGAAATACTATCCCACATTTGTATCCCTTCCGTATTTCTCACATGAAAGAAAGCTATGTGGAATCCTTCATGGTTTTGTCTAACTTATAAAATTATACCCAATTCCCAAATCTAAAGCCACAAGAGTATGTAACAATACACAGGAATATTTACAGATTTTAAGCAAACCCATGGCACGGTTAATGTGTGCCAGCACAAGCTCTGCTGACAGTGAAGAGTGAAAAAAGCAACAACAGGATCCTAATCCTAATTAACGGGAAACAAAAAAGGAATTTAGGTCCAGAATTCAGGTTGCAAACAAAAGCAAATGCTAATGACAAAATCTGTACGAATTAAAAAAAAATCATTTTAAGTAGCTGAATATAAATTATCTCCTGAAGAATTTACTTACAAGCGTGGCAATGCTGTGCCAGGACACGAGGACTAGAAAACTGAAATAAATTGGTGTGAAATGTCTACCCTGGGAGAAGTATCTTACGTTATCTGAGTAGTATCTTTGAAACAGCAGATGTGGGACTGTCTGCTGCTATTAGCAGTACGGTTATCAGGAAACAAAATTTAACCTGTCTGTAACCCTTCTGGATACTGGAACTGCAGGAAAAAAAAAAAAAAAAAGCTGTACAAACAATCGCTGGGGTTTTTTTGCTCAACGATTGCTCAAGAAATGACCATTTCAGGAACATTATTGCTGATAGTAACATTTATTTCCAAAAGTTTGATAAACTCACGTTTGGTATCTTCTCTTCACTCCATAAACTGGGTTTGCTTGCTCACTCCCCGAGCCTGCTCCGTCTACCCCTGCTGCTGGAAAGCTGCATGTCAGCACATGCCTCAGGTAGGAGTTTCCCTCCTGATTGCGTGTGATTACAAGCAATAGGCTGCTTGTGACAGCAAGACAGTTTAACAGGATGAGTTAGCTTTTTAGCACACAGGAACGATATCCTCCTTTGGAAAAATATAAAATACAAGAGCACCGAGCACACTCCATAAAAGAGGGAAAAAAAATAAAATCTCACTGTCCTGCAAGACAGCAAACATCTCACTCTGAAAGCCAGTTGAGAAAATTACCCTATGAGATTATCCACTTCAAATAAAAATTCTTCAGGACGTAATTATGGTAACTACTTTGTTTTCAACTGCAAAAGGCTGGGAAGCAGGTCAAGAGCTAGGATTTATAAAACAACTCACATCTGGGAGATGTGAAAGCTTTTGAACGCTCCTCTCCCCTCCTCAGGAGGAAAGCCAGCACGGGTTACCCTCATCTCACGGGCAGGGAAGCTGAGATGAAGCCTCTTGCCTGGAGATACAGAGGGAAACCCAGTTCCACACAAGCTTCAATTCCCAAACCTAAGCTCTCGTCTCCTCCTGCCTAATTCAGAAATTCAAAGACACCAAGAAGCTCTTGCTAAGTGGCAACAGTCACAATTTTGCCTGGAATAAGAAAGCACAAATGCATCAACAGTTGCCATTTTGTCAGCAAAATTACATTGCCCTTTCCTCTTAGATGATGATTCAGAGAACCTCCCCCCTCCCATACCAGCTCTTTCAGACGAAGTTCATAAAAAATGAGTTTAAGTTGGCAGGGGAAAAAACCCCTATCTCCCATCTGCCAGTGAGCAAAAAGGGGAAGGCAGCAGGCTGAAGAGGAACGAGATGAAAACATGCCCAAAACGCCAGAAACATGTTAAAAGTTTTTTTTTTTTGACTGGTGGGGAAGTGAAAAGTGCTGCCGCTGGGCTGCACGTGGTGTCTTTTTGCTGAAGTCGAGCAGTAGATGCAAAAACCTCTTCAGCTGCAGTGTGACTCTGCTTCAAATGTGCTTACTTGAACTTTATATAGAATATTTAAAGCAGGTGACGGAGTGATCAGCATTAACAGGTGGTGACAAAGTTCCCATTTTGTTCTGCACAGATGCAATGCTCCTATAAAAGTTTTATGGCCCATGAGAGCAAGAACTGCAGAACTAAGATCCTGCCTCAATGAGCTCAAGAGGCTCCTCTGGACAGCTGGGACATTCAGGCCTTGCAGCTGGATTGAAGACATCAAGCAACAAGTCTGGAGGATCAGTGATGAGTTGGCTCCAGTATCATCACGGAAAGTCTCCCACTCACTCTTATAAAACCTTAGAGAGGTTTACAGTTAATTCTTCTTTAAGCCAAACATACCCCGAGTATACTCATCCTGAAGGTCTCAGTGAAAAAAAATTACAACTGTCAGTTACAGTGATGCATGTTTAAGTTAATTAATAAACTAGATTTTTATAGGTATAAGATTTCTGTGCACTTACACTGCTGCCTAAACCAACTGTCTCTCAGCAATGTGTCTCACCGTTGCTAAAAATGCCACAAGTTGCAAGCCTTTATGCACAAAGCGAAAGTCACCTGGACCAGAGAAGAGTTTGCATCTTAACATCAGCTAATGAAAAGTCACAGTCTGCCAAAGTTATCCTAATAACCAGTAGTGACACTGCCCATCAGTGACACTGCCAATTCCACACGTGGAGAAGCAGGAGAACATTTTTGAGCTGTCTCCTCACAAATGGGCATTTCCCAGACGAGTTATTTACCTTAAATATCATCTGATCAGTATTTCCCTACTTACCATCGCTCAGTGGACAAGGTTATTTTTCTAACTAAACATCAGCTTCTCAGCCCTTTCTACGGTTGTGGAGATCAAGCGAAAACCCAAAGAAAATTTTTCAATGATGAAAATCCCCCTGGTTCCTTTTTTCCAGCAGGTAAACTCATCAGCAAGAGGTTAGACCCATCTCAAACAAAAACACCATCACAGAGATCAAGGCCCCGGGACAGCGATTAAATCTATTGACAGAGACACCAGCAGCAGGGCAGAGTCCACATTGTTTCAGGAGGATGGTACGCAGGTCCCGGTGGAGGAAGGGACGACAAAAGCAGGAACTGTGAGTGGCAACATGAGTATTTTAGCAAGTTATGGGCCACTCTCACCAGAGGGGTTGCAATGGAAATCATTATCCACTTGGCTGCAGCAGTCACTGCTTTCACAGTAATGTTTCTCACATAAAAAGCAGCCAACTTCCATAAATGACTAGCCACTGGAGATACTTCAATGATTTAGATTAAGAAAAAAATCCCTTTTTAAATGCAGAAAATATTTTCCCAGACTTTAACTCCAAAACAGCTGAAAAGTTTTTCTTCCTTTTGCAGTTTTTTGACATTAAATGGTATTTTTTTTCTTGCCTAAAACCAGACAGAAAGCTCTAGTTTGGAATAGGTTGTTCCTGAGAGGGATGTTACTGCAGGAGATGCCTTATGCTGAAAAAGCCTTTCTGGAATTACATCCACAAACACTGATGCTGTAATAAACCCTGTACAACCAAATAGTTGCTCGAGGTCCACCAAGGAAGGTACATTTCCATGTGCTGGAAGGCAGCCTAAGACAGCAAAATCTGGCTTCTACATGCTCAATTACTGCCAATATTTTCCTGAACTGGTTGAACAGCATAAAGGGAATAAATGACCTTTGTTACAGAGCAGGAATAAAAAGCCCTTCAAGTTTTCTTATAGGTAGGATGGCGTTCCTGCAGGAAATCCAAATTATTCTGGAAGAAGAACCGCAATTACAGAGAATACCATACCTTCCTTAGCTGGCTTTCATATTCTTCTCGGAGTTCCCCTGGTTTGCTTAATTTAATGGGTGCTCTGAATATGAAGTCTGGAAAGAGAAGGAAAAAAAAAAAACAGGAAACACTTTTAGTGCACCACTATGGGGCTATCCATTATTTCCCAAAAAAGGGTAAGATCTCCCCGGACTGCACAAGAGGTTCTGCAGCATTTTTTCAAGCACATGTGTTTATGTTACGACACTGTTATCAAAGCTCTGTTTAACGTACAGAAACGTCGGGAGGAGGATGGCCAAGTGATACCATTTTGCACTTCTAGAGTTTCTTTGGAGATTCTCAAGAGTTCTTGACAAGCAGTTAAGCAATCAGGGGAGTATTAGGAGAACGTAAACACAGAGGTTAAGTAACAGCCCTGAGCTGTCACAGGGAATCGGAGTGCTAGACACAAAACCAGGCTTTAAGCGTCCGCCCCAGCCAGACACCCAAGAAACACAGGCTGAAGCAGCAGCACAACACCCTGAATTCACACCCGTGCCCTTCTGCCATTTAAACGAGCTCTCTATTTTCTGTATAAATGGTGTTTTCACTCCTCCACGTCCCCTCCACCTTCGCCGCCGTTCGCAGGGCTGTCCCGCTGGTCTGCAGCAAGCACAGCTTTTATTTTTTATTCCACTTGCAATGTCCTACCTGAGGTCACTATTTTGAAGCCAGGCGGGCGGGCTGCTCTGTCCGGCAGGAATTCCCCATCCTGCTCCTGCTTCCTCCCTTCTCCCTCAGCAATTCACAAACCAAAAGCGTATTGGCACAGGGTTACAGTTTAACCTCCATCCCTGGAGCCTGTTACTCCCCAAATGATTCCCTTTCTTTATGTCGGCCTCAAAGCTCCCTCCTGCTCCATACAGCACAAGTCTGGGCAAGCTGCACCGCAGTTGGAGGAGCTTGGATGGAAAAGGGAACCACCGGAATAAAACAACAACCCCTGAACAACTGTCCTGGCTCAGTCTGTACCAATACTCCAGGCAGGGTGCAGCACAGCTCATCATCCCGACGTGCTACGCTCGAGATGAAATGGGTATGAGCAAGGAGGAAACATCAGTGTTGTTTCCTTTTCCCAGCTCGCTAAAATCAAGGGATATAAACCGGCAGCTCCGCCGCATGTTTTGTTTAGGAAGAGTTTTCATTCCTCAGACACACTGGCCTGAAATGAAAAGGTGGGGTAAGTAAATCAAACACCCAGTGGCTGGCAGCCAACTGCCCCAGTGGGCAACCTCTGGGTCACGGCCACATCTGCCTCCTCCCTGGGACAGGTGACAGCACTGGTGCCGAAAAAAAGCCATTTACAGACTGACTAAATCCTATTTTCACCTCTTCCACTTGCTACCAGTTTGCTTTTACGGTTCTTAGAGGAAAGGCTCATAACTTCCCTCCCACCCCACCAGTGAGGGTGAGTGCAGACTCAAGTTGCTCTGGAAAGAGAATGCTGCCAACGCCAAAGCTGAACAAATCACAAAGTATTTCTTTACTACTTGCTTTAAAAGGGGGAAAAAAAAAATCTTGCAATCAAACATCAAGAATATAGATTATAAGGCGCTTTTTTTGTTATTATTAAAAAAGCTGCTATTCTCTCTTACTTGTACGCCTGCGTGAGCTAGGCTTATTTTTAAAGGAAAACATCCAAAATGTCCCGAAATGTGTGATAAAAATCCCAAGTGGTGGTGATGCTGGGGAGGCCAGGCTGCATTCCTCGCTCCTGCTTCTGTGCCTGCAACCGGCTGCGCTGGAAACCTTCCACCGGCTTCTCAAAATGTTTTTTCAATTGTGTCCTTGAGCAGTTCCAGTTCTTTGTGAATTTTATCAAGTTGCATTTTTGCTGAGACAGTCCCAAGAGCAGCAGCAATCTGTAACGCGCCCGCAGCAAACTTCAATTACTTCTGAATGTTTAAGGCTTGTCTCAGACCTTATCTTCATTGCTAAAAAGGTGTATTTTTTCCCCTCCAGGGTAATAAAAGCGTACAAGCTAACCCAAGGGAAACATTCAGCAGTGAAGACAAGCCACATCAACTGTTTCATTGCTTACACGGGTTCAGCAAGCCAGAAGAGATTTTAAATAATGGAACAACGTTTATCTATAAAGTTATGCTGGTTTAGTTAAAGTAGTCCAACACCGTGTGGAGGCAATTTTATCTATAGTATCTTTATGCACCAACTTGTGTAATTTACAGATGGGTCAAAAGAGACAAGCCCCCAAATTTCTAGCTCTGTGTAGAAGAGATGAAAACAAAAATGTACGCACAAGTGTACAGCTAGGTTTACAAACCCCCGTTATAGTTTCTGGGGTGGAGCGATGCTGCACGGTGGCTGCCCCCAGCCAAGGATGCTTCTATCAGCACAAAACCCCTGCAAATCAAACCAGAGTGGTCCCTGCGCCGAGATGCAGCTGGGGAGGAAGGCAAGATGATCAGAGCATCACAAGTTCCTCCAGCACACCTCCACGTGCTAATTCTGGAGGTTCAGGTCCAGGACAGGGCTGCTTGGCTGTTTTGGTATGTGCTACAGCCTAGGAGAACAATGGGAATGGGTAAAATGATGGCAGAAATGGCCTTTTTCTTGATTTTGCAGCAAAGCTCCTGCTTGCTCTTCCTCTTGAGTGATCCGTGGGTCAACAGGAACAGTTTCTAAATGAAGAAACGACCTTGAAGGGCTGTTGGGAAGGCTGGCACTAGGATGCTCCTTCTGAGCACGGTGATAGCACCAAAACAGTCGCAGCAGGATCAAACCTGGCATCCTGCTCTTTTACGCTGGCAGACAAGAGTTTCACCCTATTGTGCTCGATCTTGGAAAAAACAATTGATTTCTGTACTATTTGAGAGGACAAAAGATTTTCTAATTATTTAACGCTGGTTCTAAGAGGCGTTTGACTTGTAGCCTCAGTCCCCTTGAATGACTCCATCCTTCCCACGTTGGCACACAGACGTCTGCATTACACACTGTCACCATTAATCCACACTCCTGACCAGCAGATCTTATCTTTCCCGGCAAAAGACTCAGAAACATCTATCTGGTGAATTCAGCAACACAGGTTGAATAAAAATAAGTTGAACTCGATTCAGAAACCCTTCGGTCCTCTGTCTGTCATTCAGAGGCTCCTGGGTTTTGCCAAACTGGTGCCATCCAGCAAGTCAAAGCTCTGCCATCCGCAGCAGCGAATCTCCCTCACCCCCAGCTTCCACGGAAGCTTAGAGCAGACTTTGTGGCTTCCTTCTACTCTTTATTCCTGGCAGAGATAATTAAAACCTTGAGGTTTTCAGTGTTTTTCTTTTTAACTTCCAGCAGTTAAATGTTTATACTTGCAGATGAAGATGAGATCTTAATGTTTTCAAAACACAAAACAAGAAGTTAGAAGTTTTGTGACCATGGAGAGGTTTGGAAACAGTTTTCTAAGAGTAGTTACTCTAGTTCTTTTAAAAGGATGTTAACCAAATTACACAAAAATATGCCAATGGCATATTCTGTCTGTCTGTCTGTCTGTCTATCCATCCATCCATCCATCCATCCATCCATCCATCCATCCATCCATCCATCCATCCTTTGGCATCTGTGGATCAGGGCATATTTGGAAACAAGAAATTAAAACTCAGAACATTTCGGCCACAGATTTGCAGCTTTAAGTGGAAAAATTGGTAAGGGTGGAACTGTAGGAAGACTTTGGGCTGTCACATACCAGTAAGACAACATGTGGCATCGCCAGACCCCTTCTCCTGCCCTGCTGCAGGCACCTGTGGTCACAGCAAACTGGAGACAGAAACTGAGTCAAGCTAAAACCAATCTTAAAAAAAGGCAATCCTCCAAAACAGTTTTTTTCACTCCAGAGCAGCTCCTGTACCACAACAGGCTCCAGACCAGTTCTCTTGCACAGCCAAACAGAACAAAAATAGATTTAAGCTAGTTCTGAGCCTGGAGTTCCAGCTCAAGCAGGAGATGACACCAGAAAAAACATTAATGTGGTTGATAGCTATTAACATATTGTCATTTCTCCCTCAACTGCTACATCCTAAACAGGCTTGTGCCAATAATGTCAATTATCTCTCCGAGACAAGGCTCCCCAACAGATTTTCACAGAACCACAGAATGGTTTGGATTGCAAAGGAACTTTGAAGATCATCTAGTCCAACTCCCTACCATGAGCAGGGACATTTAGTGGTGGACTTGGCAGTGTTGACTTTATGGTTGGATTTGATGACCTTAAAGGCCTTTTTCAACCTAAATGATTCCATGCTTCTATGATCTCCCAGTAGATCAGGTTGCTCAAAGCCCCATCCAACCTGACCTTGAACACTTCCAATGATGGGGTATCCACAACCTCTCTGGGCAACCTGCTCCAGCATCTCACCACCCTCATCCTAAAGAATTTCCTCCTTATGTCCAGTCTAAACCTGCCCTCTTTCAGTTTAAAGCCGTTGCGCCTTGTCCTGTCACTACAGGCCTTGGTAAAAAGGGCGGAATAACGTCTCCCTAGAGTCTTCTCCAGGCTGAACAACCCCAACTCTCCCAGCCTTTCTCCACAGGAGAGGTGTTCTAGCCCTCTGTCCATTTTGGTGGCCTCCTCTGGACCTCTGGACAGGTCCAAGTCTTACTCGTGCTGGGGACCCTAGAGCTGGATGCTGGGTGGGGTCTCACCAGAGCGGAGTAGAGGAGGAGAATGACCTAATTTAGCTTGATTTATGTTCAAAACAGAGTGATCCAGCTCCCCTAACACTGATGCCGGGCCACAGAAAGTATTGCTTTCCCCTGCACCTCTTGTTTCATTTCTTCATTTTCAAAAGCCTGGCTTGGGGAGCTGGGAAAAGGGGCACAAAGCCACCAAAAAGAGGATCTAGGCATGGTTTAAAAGCAAGACAGAAAACTAAAAAGTCCATCAGTTAATGGGAAGAGGGCAGAGAAATAATTGAAACAGTGAAAACTTAAGTGTTCAGAAGAGTGATACTTCAGTATTTACTAAAAATTAACTGTGATCAGGAACTCTAAGCAACAGGAACACAGAAACAAGAAGTAAATAAAGATGGCACAAAAAGTGCAAAGAAGAGGTAT